GATTTTTTTCTGTAAAAAAGAAATAAACTACTACAGTATGACTTTTGACAAAGGGATCAAAGAATCAGCTGGCAGTTGGTAAACCAGATATCCACATGAAGTAGAGTGAGTGACACCAGATTTCTATCTCTCACACACAGAATTAATTCAAACTGGATCAAGGACATTAATGTTAGGGGAAAACCACTTCAAGATACAATGATAGGGAAAGAATTCATTAAAAGCACTTCAGTAGTTCAGGAAATAACTGCAAGAATTGAAAAATAAAGAAAGTATCTGCACAGGAAAAAAAGTGAAACAGACATAAAGAACGTGAGAAAAAGCTTTGTCAGCTATATGTACAAATGAAGGGATTAATATCTGTAATTCAATGAAATTCATATTTTACTACTAAATACAGAATCTATTAAATCAATAAATAAACAAATGAAATGAATTGACAGTTCTCAATATTAAAAATACAAATGGCCAATAAATACATGTAAGAAAGTTCAGCGTCTTTAGTCATCATATAAATACAAAATAAAAACATTGATATTCTGTTTCACTCCAGTCAGAATGGCCATAGTTAACATATACATGCAACAATTTTTTAATGAATAAAAGACAACAATTAACAAAATTGGGAGATGTGGGAGAAAAGAAACTCTTATACAATACTGTAGGGAATGTGAACTGGTATCACAGTTAAGGAAATTAGTAACATTTTCTGCAATACAATAGAAATACCATGTGATCCAACCACACGTATGGCCTTTCTACTTCCATTTCATATATATTTGTGGATATTGGAGGAAAAGCAGAAGGGAGGCTGAGGGAGGTGACAGTGGGGTGGATATGAGAAAACTACAAATGATGTATATTAAATATCATAAGGAAAAGCGTTAATTTTTGATAATTAAAACACAGGTGATTTTCAGTCCATTTGAACAGGAGTAGCAGCCAACTTGTAGACAAAAATTGGCCTATTGCTAGATTCTATAAATAATATTTTATGGGAACACACATAAAATAATTACAAGTTAAAAATTAAGAGATTAATGATGAGAACATTGGCATTATCCTTTCAATATTAGCAGTTAATCAGGGAATTTTTTTGTTGTTTTTTTTTTTGAAGTAGGGTCTCCCTGTAGCCCCAGCTGTCTTGGAACTCACTATGTAGACCAGGCTGGCCTTGAACTCATAAAGTGTATTCATTTTTACATTAGAGAAATTAATGATGCACTAAATTGAGGCAAGAATCATTTTTTTTTCAATGTGAATGATTTTGAAAACTTTGGCCAGGCTCAATAAATTTGAAATGCATACGATCAATATATTCTACACGGTGCATATCATAATTATTTTTGCTTGCCTTAATATAGAGATAAATTTTGTTTAATAAAAATGTTGCATTCATTTTGGAACTTCAATGGCTCTTTGTGAAAATTCACGTTAAAACTGAATATCAGATGAGCCAATCTTGGATATTAACCACGGACGTTTGTTTTTAGACTTATTTTGCTATTATCCTTCACTTCAGAATGCATAATGATGATGCCATTATTATGAGCGCATCTGAAAGCATGGCAGCGTGCTTTCAATTACAGGAAATCTTGCTCAGATTTGTAGGTATTATTCAATATCTGACTTTTTCCTAAAGCCTGTTATGTGAAGCTATTATCTTGATTATTAATACATTACCTGGAAGGTGAGGAGAAATGTAAAAAAAGAGCACTAATCATTTTCTTGCTTCTGATAATGCTATTTAGGAAGAGAAGAAATGGATACAGTGAATATTGTGATGTTTAGAGATTATCTGGAGGATTGTCTTTTAATGTGCATTTCCTATTTTTCCATTAACACCTCTAATTGAAGACTAAGTTATCCTATGAATTGAATCCTTTGCAAACCACTTATTAGATCTCTGAATAAATAGGCAAATAAGGAATGGAGTAGTCCCTAGTGGTAGTTTAGTAATTTAATTTACTTTGTCTAGATAAAGTTCCATACCTGTGGTGAGAGTAATGGCAGTCTGATATAGGAAAGGAGCTTCGCCAGATCTCGTTGCCTAGTCTGGACATCATGACCAACCCACTGCATTAGAGCATGGAAAATAGTTTCTTCATCAGGCACGTTAATGTCATCACTGCACAAAAGCTTTGAAATTTCATTAGCTGGAAGCAGGAGGAATTCTTGATTCTTTATTACATCAATGAAGTGTTCCTACAAAATAAACACCATCTTGTTAAACTGCTATTGAGAAACTTAACAAAATAATAGCAAACTACCTTGATTTATTACATTTTAATGTATTGTACATCAACTCTCTCTCTTTAATTGTGTTTTATATATTTTATCTGATATCAAGTTGCAAACAGTCATGTTTCAATTTTTCATCAAAGGGGCACCACTATTTCTAATTCATCAGTGTATATTTTTCTTTGAGAACATGTTATTTCTCATATTTTCACATTGAACATCTCATTTCAATTTCAATAAACTACACTTCTCAAATGGAATTAAACATTTACTAGTGATTTATTTTGCATATTATAAGAATATTCTGGGAGCAGCTTAAGAGAGATTCTGAACAGCTGGAGGCTTTGAATAATTCAAATGACTCCTTCACCTGTACTGCTTGCTTCCTCATTATAGAATGGAGATTAAGGATCAAAATTATCTATAAAGCAACACCAATGCTTACCTGCAGCTCCAGCCACCTCTGCTGCCATGCCTCCCCTCCGTGATGGACTCTAGCCCCTTTGGAATCGTAATCTAAATAAACTCTTCATTTTGTAAATTCCCTTGGTCATGGTGTTTTATCAGCAACAGAAAAGTAGCCAAGACAAAGGCTGGTAATTCCATAAGAAAACTTTCATGCCCTACATTTTCATACTGCCTTGCCTGTTTAGAAAATGAAACCTTTTGTAATTAAGGCAATCAATAGTGATAGAACTAATGTAACAGACGTCTATGGCTGAAATTCCTCTCATTTATAGAAAATTAATGTAATGCTGCTAAATTTAACACATTTCACTTTTAGATCACTTCATTCTTTAATAAATTATTTTGTAAGCATTAAGTCATCACGATGTGGTCTTATGGATGTGATTATTTTTAACAAAAAACCTGTAATATACAGTGATCTCCATTGTAATGAAATTAAAATTCTAAAGTCAAACATAAATGTCTGTTATCATGATTACTATTTATTGCTCAATAAGGCAACTGTCTTTTCTAAATGACAGAATGTTTACAAAAGTGTTAAGAAAAGTAAAACACTACAAAATTAAATGTATGATTAGCTGTTACTGTATGTGTCAGCTCTGAGACCATGTTAGTAGTACGAAAATAACATCTCCCTCATTCTTATTCTACTCTTTAATAAAAATTGGGAGGTCTAAAAGAGGGAGCAGAAAATTTCAGAGTATAAAATCAACCGAATACAAAAGTGGTTCATATAGAAGTCTGTCTAACATGCCTGCATTTAAAAGTTAGAGAAAATGATTGGAAATTGTTTATACGATATGTATAAGCACAAATTACATATTATGAGGAAATTTGTTGTCAACACAGTTCCCGTCTTATGAGAATATGGAAATTTTCTGGAAAATATAGATTAGTGTAAATAAAAACACATAAAAGTAGTGTCTAATATTTAGAGTAATAATTCATTATTTTAAAGTATTTGATCTGACAATTATTTTATCCTGATGCCAAGGTAAACACTTTTATCTTCATAACTTACCAATATTCTGCTTTTATTATGATTTAGGTTAACCATTTTTAAGATCCACAATTAACTTCTTACAAAATTTAATAAATAAATACAATACATTTACTTTATTCTTAGTATTTATATAATTGAGTTGAAAATTTTTAATGTGTCAAATTGGAGTGCGAATCCAAGGCGTTTGGATGCAACCCACCCAAATAAGAGTAAGTCAACTGCTTTCCTCATTCTACTAACTCAACTGTAATTGAATACATAATTTGTACAAAATTATTCTTAGAAATTAGTTACAGGCATTATTGTAATATCAGTAATACAGTATTGTGAAAATATTATAACAACTTTATTCAACTTATTTTATCTACAATAGATACTAACATAACTGAAAAGGGGAATTAGATGAGAAAGAATTATTGCATTTTTATGAACATCCTGCTGTAACACTCAGTTTGGAATGTACAACACAAAGAGGAAGACGAATTCATCTGAGTAACAGAAATAATTCAAGTTGTTTATCAGAATGTATTTTGTCTGCAAGGATAAGATACCAGACAGGAAACTGTTAATACTTAGTTCAAGAATTTAGGCAACTTAACAGGAAGTTTTCTTGTTTGGCTTTTATGGTAGGGATTAACCTTTGAACTACATAACTGCTGTTCCTTTAGATTAAATAGCATCTGTATTTAGGACACAGAGATAAAAATAGTATGAGTAAATAACACATTCTAAAATGCCAATCTGTTTCAATGTGATTTTCCACACACTGGCATTGTTTCAGAAATATGTTTGAAACTTCCTTGGGTGGGAAGAAGGAAGAAGAAAAAATATTGAAAAAAAATTAGCTCAACTTTCATAAATTTGAAAATTTTACAGTATGTACTAGCCTCTAGAAAAAGTGCTTTTTCTCTACACATCTTTATTTGAAATACTGCTACTTGTATTTAATAATTTTACACGTTGTCTTTTGTTTACTTGTGTGCAATTGCCTCTGTTTTTTTAATCTTAAATAACTAGAGCAATTTCATTTGTTGAACACGTGCAATTTTTCATTGTTTCAAACTTTAATTCACCACTTCAGGGGTTAAATGGTTAATTTTCTTTGTATCAAGGAAGTACTAACTCCCACAATAAAGAATTTTGCTTTACACCCTCTATCCAGTTTTCCTTGTCTCCATACATTTTACATATCATGTAACTGTTACCTCAGTAAAAATCATTTCATTTTGTACAAATTTTAAATGAATCAAGTGAATAGGTCATATTTTCAGAGTGGCCCACACATCGCTATGTAATTATGAATGACCTTGAAGTCCTAAAACTTATACCTCTAGAATACAGACTACAATATTGGTATGAGTCATCATGTCCAGTTTATGAGATGCTACGGACTAAACTCTAGGCTTTGTGCCGTTTAGGTAAGCATTCTACCAAATAAGCTACATCCTCTTTCACAATACTTTTTTAGAATTGAGTAATGTTTAATTTTCACAAAAAATATGAATTTGTCCAATTTTCCAGCCTAAATTGCCAATTAAGCAAAAAAGTCAGGCGAGTGATTTTTTTTTAATATTGTAGATTCCACTAGAAATAAAGGCTCGTTTAATTAAATAGCAAGAAGTATTTCTATTTCCTGAAGTATGGCTACTTCGTCAAACCTTTTTATTTGTAAAATTAAGAACACATTGTAGAGCAGCTGAACTCAAAAAATATTTTTGTCCAATATATATATTATGTATAAGTTACTTGAAAATTATGTTTATTTGAGGTTAGTTTTATCCCAGAATGTATTATTACAATAAGTCAATTTGAAACAAATGATTTACCATGGTGTACTTATGTGCCACATTCTGGAGCTCCACACAGCCCTGGGCATCTCCAAATGATCGAATCCCTAAGCAGTTTGAAGGATGGAGCTGCTTTATAAGGAAATTGCAGCAGACGTCAATGACCTGAGTCAGCTGCAGGAGACAAGCTGCAGCTAGCAAATTTTCAATAGTGTCTTCTCTCAGTTGAAGCACACCTAAATGGATCAAGTGAGTAAGGATGATTATACATTACATAAAATAGAACCCAAATATTCTTGTTAGTTGATTTCTGTTTATTTTTTAGGACATTTATCCTTTCTAATGTACAGTAGTTCCTCTAGGAATATGATTTAAGATTGACAGTTACAAAGGAGTCTTTGTGTGTACAAAGAAGGCAAAATGGAGCCAGACTAATTTATGCAAAATCACTGGAGCAAAAGAATAGTGATTACTATAATATAAAAAGATAACATTTTTATCAGATTAAGCTTTCACTTAAACTTTACATTAATG